AGATGGATTGACACAGTGGTGGCAACAATGGGCTCTGGTATAGCAAGGATTGTGGGGCTGGCACAAGACTGGGCAGTGTTGTGTTCTGTTGTGCATAGGGTCGCTATGAGTTGGAGCTGATTCAATGCCATCTAACAACAACACAACCCACAACTAATCATGAGGGTAGCACAGGAGTAAGCAGCGGTTGTTTTTTTCCATTATGCATAGGGTCAGGGGTTGACTTTATGGAAGCTAATGACAGCAAGTGTTTACAGAGTTGATAACTATGTACATAGCAATGTGCTCTCACATTCTGAGCCCATGTAACCCTGTGAACTCCTGTGTCAGAGTCCAGGAGCACTCTGTGGGGCACATGGAGAGTGCCTGTCAATAAGAGACTCTACCTGAGTTTGGACACAGCCGGAATTAATTCATCTGGCTTTCCTTGCCTGGCACCTTCATGTCAGACTTATGTCACAATGTCCCCCTTGCACCCCACCCTCAGACCCACCATTTCTCCACATGGACCTCCAGACACCCATTCATGTGATGACACAGGTCCCTCTCTTACTACAAGCTCCCTGAAGCCCATCTCTCTCCTTGTTGGACAAACTGCTTCTGCTGACAAAACTTGATTTTGCTCAGAGAACTTTGTTAGTTTCTGCAGTCTCTGTGGCATCCGATTCTGAGGGGTCCTGTGCCCTTTACGGCTGAGTCTCAAGCTGGCTCCACAGCCATGATGTTCTACCCTGGGGACTCTGCCAGGACGAGCAAGGCTGCAAGTCACAGCCTAATAACTCTTGACTGTGCAATGCAGATAAAGTGATTTATCTGGCTGGAAAATTAGATAATCCCCCAAGGAATATGTTCAGAATGGCCGGACTCATTTAACCTTCCTCACGGCTGCTCCCAGCGGTACCCCTGGACTGACGGAAATGCGATTGAGTCCGTGATAGATGGGGAATGTTAGTTATATCACTGCTAAGCGAGGACTTCTGAGGTTTGTTGCCCCTGTTCCACAAACCTGAGCAAAATAAAGATGATGATGATGATGATGATGGCCATGGCACATGTGGTGGTTATGTTTTTGTGTCAACTTGACTGGGTTTGGTTGAGTGGCTGGGCAGCTGGATGTAGTATTCCCCATGATGAGACTGGTAATCAGCACCATGGTGGACTCTATTGGGAGCAGCTGAGTAGCTGCCCTAGGAATTTGGTCTGCTTCCTGTATATATAGGAGAAGCCTTGGGGAATGGTCTCTAGCTTATGGCACATTTGAACCTTGCATGTGGCCGTGTCATTGTTCAGCAGCCTGTCACACTCTGCCGATCCTGGGACTTTCAATAGACTTGAATTCATGGCCTGCTGTGTGGTTTGGTAACATTGGGACTGTGTCATTTTATTTGTTGACCTTGGGCTTGTTAGCCTCAGCAGTCAGTAGCTGCCTGAGTGAAGAGATGCCTCTAGCTTCAGTGGGCCAGGAGCAAGAGGCAGAGCAGAGCTGAAGCCCAAAGTCAAAGGGCTTTTAACCCAGTCCCTAGAGCCTGGCACTTTGAACTCAGACTTAAAGCCTCCATACTGTAAGAGCATAAACTATTTGTTCAAGCATCTCATTTGTGGTATATTCTTGTTAGAATGGCACTAGGTAGCCAGAACAGCGCATCACTGCATGTAGAATTCTTTTCGTTTGGAAGGCTTGGGTTTTCTCTGAATTTTGCATTGAACACGGAGGTGTCTCTGCTGCTTTTGGGTGCACTCTGGGTTTATTTCCTTCCTCATTCCTGCTGTTTGTCATTGTTTAGGGTCAAGGAGTGAAGAAGAACAGGCGGCTGGCTTTAGAGCTGATGAAGAAGGCAGCTTCCAAGGTAACACTTTCGCATCTTGTCACAGGGAAATATTTCCACCACACACACCCACAAGCTCACAAGTCGAAAAGAGTGAATGGTGGGCCTCCTCCTCTAAGTCCTGACGTGGCAGTGGGGTGGGGAGAGGTCACAGCAGTGCACTGATTAGTCATTTTGAGTTACAGCACAGCCAGAAACCTGCCACAATGGAGTAGGCCAATTTCAAAGGCTGAATTCACCTTCCAGTAAATAGAATCAGGCCATTTTGTTTGAAGGCTAAAATTATAATCACAGTCTGCCCTGATAACAAGCAATGGGGAACCTTGAAATTGAATGGGCTTAAATGCTGTTGCATTAGGAAACCAAAAGCCTGAGTCTTCTTGAAGATTAACTCTTTCATGTCCAAATACCTTTGGCTTCTTGCACTTCAGTAATGGGCCTGTTTATCAAGGTGATTGCAAGCTTTCTGAGCTCTTTTTGCTTTTGTCACTCTTTA